GACCGTCCATTATAAAAGAGAACTATCTAAAAGTATGTGGTTTGTGTCAGCAGTATCAGTCAAATAAACCTCCCGGTCCGGTACACCATTGACGTTGGCCTGAAAAGCCATGGCAGCGCATCCATGGGGATTACTTTGGACCCATTAAGGGTGTATTTTTCCTGCTGCTAATTGACGCTCATTCGAAATGGATAGATGTTTATTCCGTTGCACACCTTACTACAGTGACAACTATCTCCATAATGCGGTCGTCATTTGCAATATTTTGGATACCGGAGACACTGCACAGACAATCGGCGATGTTTCACTAGCAAAGAATTTGAAATCTTCATGAATAGCAATGGTGTCCAGCATGTCCGTACAGCTCCATATCACCCTGCTTCTAATGGTCTAGCTAAAAGGGCGGTGCAGACAATTAAAAGAGGTCTCTCAATTCAAGCACAGGGAATTGTTCACACGAGGTTAGATCGCTTGCTATTTGCTTACAGGATAACGCCCTCGGAAGCCACTGGTAAGTCACCTGCGGAGATGATGTTTGGCCGAACACTCCGTACCAGACTAGATCTTCTGTTTCCAAATCATAGAGCACAGATGGAGAGGAAACAAGACAAGCCTGCCGCATCGCAAGGTGACCACGACTCTAATTGGCAGCCGGATGATCCCGTATACACACGACTTCCCCATGGGCACTGCTGGCAACCCGCAACTTTAATCAAAGACGACTGTACCCAAGCATATCTTGACTTAAATGGTCGGATAGTACGGCGACACTCAGACCACATACGCTCACGTTTTGTTGGGACGACAGCAGATGAACGTCTGGGTGATTCAGCATCCGTTCAGCCGGAAATAGAAGCAAACCCCCAGGATTCTGTACAATCGTCAGATGCACCAACGCTTCGCAGATCTCAACGTACGCATAAACCCGTTGACCGGTTCTTGCCAGGAGTATAAACATTTCAAGAGATGAGGGGATATCATGTACGCGAATGACTTCGATCCGTTTACTTCAGTCGTGCGCGGATTGGTTACCACTCACACCAGCTTGCCACTCATCTGACACACACACCCCCACGGTCTCGCTGCGCGTTTCCGTGAATCTTGTACCTTCTCAGTTGATTGATAAACCTCCTGCTGTTTAGACGTCTTTTGATTGCTGGGATTACATGTCTCGGAAACGTGCGTTACATGCTTAGTGGTACTACTTTTTAAATACACGTATATACTCGAGAAAAAGGAAGGAACTCACTAAAAATACAAACGACAAAGCAAGTTTAAATTCGCGCGTGCGAATCGTGGTCACCAATTTGTAGGACTAGTAAATAGGAGTCCGAGACGGTGCGCGAAATAAAGCGCGGATATCAGAAGGCAATTGGAGTCGGACACAGAGGACTGTATTCCATGGGCCACAAGAAGACGTGGATGGATGAAGCGAGACAAGAGCGAACACGTGAGCGCGGGAACTTACAAGGCGGTCGAGTGTCGAGCCGGATGTAGGTCAGCATGCACATAATGTAGGTGAGATTAAAACAATAAAGGATGGTGTACAATTGCCCATCGGTGAAATTGTACACCAAAGATGATAGTTAACTTTTGGAGCGCTGCATATCGATGTTGTGTCTCTGCATACACATTGTGTTTATAGACGCTTGAGGCGTTGCAAAAATGCCAGCACATTCTCTGAGTACAATGGGAGGTAAATTATCCGGACCGAAAACGTTACCGTAAGGTATGCGTTTTAGTAAATTATTCACATCAGCATTGGCAATGCGAAGCAACGAGTTCATAAACCTCAGGATTTGGGAACAGCAAGGTTTTGAGACTATGGTAGTATCGCAGTTACAGAACTCCTTGTTCAATCCCTCTATACTCCCACTGGAACAGCGTATACTAGCAACCACTAATCTGTTTTGACATTTTTCGCAGTTTGCGACAGCTGTCATTCCCAATAATATACTGGGTTAAGTCGAACTAGCTCCTCCTTGATACGAACAATAAGATACCTTACTGTGACGCCGTCTTCTGCTTTAGATGCTTTCTGCTTAAACCAGCGCAGTCGCTTCACTTGGGGATAGAGGAGCTTGTCAGCGGGGACGTAGACTTTCCCAAGGATAGTGGATGTCAAAACAGAGATTCAGATAACTAGTCAAATTGTCTCAATACTGTGGGTACCTCAGGGTCAAAGAATCAACTAAATTAGGTAGATCCAACCATTCCACGAAGTCGGTCGATCTTTTGTGTAGAGCCTTGCCTCCACCTGAACATTCCATCACTGATGGTTTGTTTTGCTATAGATGGCGGGAGAAAATTTTGATTATTGAATGATTGGAACTGCCAGTCAGAGTCCCATTGCATGCGGAGAGAATCACTTTGTATTATTAGGTAACATCAGATCCAGGCTTGCGTCTAATCTGATGGGCCAGTTTACGATGGTCCCTAATCCTAGAGTGATACAAAGTGGTATATAATATGCTGAAATCTCCAATGAAGCTAAATAAAGTACCGTTTATGTGTTCTATGATGGATGCCGTACATTCCCCGTAAGATTCCTCTGCTTCAAGTTTAGAACAGTTGGGGTATATATAGATGTTAACTGACACTAGTGAGCGGTAGTCACTCAGATACCTCGGCTTGCATTGTAGGCGTAAGCAGTTACTAAACCATGAAAACAAGCAAAATATGTGTTTTGTTGCAATACACCAAGATGGATTGGTGCGAATATGGACTCTCCCGTCTCTGTTTCAATACGTGCATGGGCGGTCAACCCGATGGAAGAAGAATTCTCCAACCGATACTAAAGTATTATTCACTTCGTGGAGCCAGATTTCTTTCAACATAGCAAAACCTAGCTGTGAAAATTCTTTGGAAGGGACAGTACACAATACTTTAGCTACTTTTTCAGCGAGCGAACGGATGTTGATGCTGAGCGACACAGGAGTCCTCAGCTCTCGAAGTTTTTCTTTCGAAGAGCGACCCTACTTCTAGCATGATGTTTTCGTAAAGAATTGTTACAATTCTTATAAATTCTTTTCAGCTTGTCCTTTTTTATCAAAAGCTGTTATAACCATTCACATGTGTAGAAACACCTGGTGATTACACAATGTTATGCGAGTAGATTAACACTGCAGGCAATTGATGATACTGATACTGTTTTCGTTTCATTATGATTTGAACCATTGTGCTCTTTGTACCATTCTAAACCGAAAGCAATCACCAGTGGGGTAATTCAAACGAGTGTGCTTAGTCCTCTTCTTTTGCTAATTTATATTAACGATAAATCCCAGCGAATATGAAATGGTGTTACATTTATCTTTGCTGATGACATTAAAGTTGTCTACTCACAACCACGTGCAAATACCCAGGAAGCCGTACGTCTCATTCAGGATGATCTATCCGCCCTTGACTCCTGGTGCCAACTGTGACAGATGTCATTTGCCGTGGACAAGTGTAATATTTTGTGGTACAAATGCCAAGTACCGCCAGACAGTTTATTACTTCAAGGCACAAATGTTTCGCAATGCAGGGCAGTTCGCGACTTGGGCGTATGATATTCAGTCACATTTAGCTTTTCTGATCACTGTGGCTTTCAAGTTTCGAAAGTCATAAAGACCATCAGTTGTAGTTGCCATCATTTTTACCTCACGAAATCTCGCATAGCGCTTTACAAAACCTATGTATTGCCATGTATGGAATACTGTTCAATAGTCCAGTCTAATCTGCGGAAATCCGACGAGCATGCTCTTGAGAGGGTCCAAAGACACTTCACGAAAAAGCTATGTGGACATTCCTCAAAGTTGACATACAGAGAGCGATGTGATAAACTTGGATTTGACCCAATTTGGCTTCGAATAATGAAGCTGAACCTGTTTTCTTTACTGAATCCTAAATGGTCAAAGTCGCAGTCTTGAACAAAACGAGATGTCTCACAACTGTCCAACGAATACTTCGCCAACAAGGCAGGTTATCACAACCCACATACGGCAACATAAAAAGTCTTTGCCCATTCCACCTAAAATTTCATCTTCCGAGATCAGTGTATATTTGCCGTCATGCCTTCTATACCAACACCCCCACAATACTCTACACTAACACCCTTCTGGAACACAAAACTTCCAGTAGAATTACCAGAAACATGCTATGGATACCCCCCAACCTTCTGACACTACCAGCTCTATCCATGACTTTCGCACGCCCCCCTGTAGTTAGCCGCATCGCACTCCGTACCCGTCCCACATATCCCTCACCCCCCGTGGTCCCAACTGTCTCGGTCTCCGGACTAAAGCATAACTCCATATATATACATCTCGCGTCAGCTGTATTGACCCCAGATAGGAATCTATTGATAGTTATTTCGAACGTAACGGTCATTCCATCTAATCCGGCCCCCTGCTGGGATACACAGACTTTCGAACAATAACACACTCATCCTTCCACATCTCTCCGGACTCACTCAAACTACCACCCCCTTTCAAGCGTCATCCGCACTTTTCCTCAGCGCCCCAATAACCTCTAGTCAGTGATTGCGTCGATCCGCGTCGAATCCCTCCCCGATTCCCACATTGACTAACCCCTAAATCCGCTTGACCAGATTGTTTTTGATTACTATGTGGACAATAATTTTGCAATTGCGACCAAGTTTATTTCTGAAAATAAAAAGGTATTTTAATTGACATTGGTCCACGCGAAAACACGCTAACCTCCTCTGTCCCATCCCATCCCTTCATCTTGATCCTGTTCCACCCCCGCTCACTCCTACCCCCCCGGGAACAGCATTCACCTCCGCATCGTCGCAGCCGGAATATACAACCCGCCTTTTGCTTTAATTTATTTAAGGGACACGCATGCTCTACAAAATATGTCAATTAGTTCCCTACCCCGCACACTATCCCCTGAACTACATAATCTATAAATGTCCGTGTACACCCATTCCTTCTAACATGACAACCTGTTCCGGCTATACCCACTACCTATAAAACATTGGTCTTCCGGCCCAATAAGCTTCAAACCTTAAAAGCCCCCCCCCCCCCCCCCCCCCCACCTTGCCCGCATTTAGCACTGGTCGTAACAGATTCCATCGAACCCTGTAACTGAGAAACAATCCACATCTCGCCCCCACGACCAACATTACTCACTCCTGGCTCAGCTTCAAGCTCCCGTGCTGTACAGTGCTCAATAAGGCTTCCCCCCCCCTCTCCGCACATCGAACCTACCGGTCCGGCCATGGATATAGCGCGACTTGCTTACGTGCTTCGACTACCCGTACAGATTTTTACTTCATGATTTACACCATAGCCCCAATCCTGCCCCCAGTCAATCCTCTGGCCTCTCCCCCTCTCTACTCACACTAGATCTGACATTCCTACATACATGCTGGGGCCTCTCCCGACACTCCTCTACACTCCCGCCCAACGCACCCCGCTCCTCGATAATCGCCACTCCCACCCGTTTTTGTCCAACCCAGATTCACGCTGTGCTTCCTATTGTTTAATTGCTCCCCCATCGCTTGGATTGCAACACGCTCGATCTCTGGATCGCATTGACCTTCGATCGCGACATTTCCTCGCCACCAGTACACTGTCCGACTGCACTAATAAGCTCTGCCACGCCTTACCCTCTCTAACCTTGCTATCACCACCAGTCAATCATACACATACTACACTCTGTACAAATATAATAACACCATTCAATTAAAACTCTCTCAACTCTAGAATCAGACACACCCTTGTACAATAACTCTATTACATTATGCTTGATCCCAGACCCACCCGCCATCACACGTCCTGATGCTGACTATTCGCCTCGGCACAATCCCGGGAAGACTTGATCTAAAGATGCTTCGCCTCGCTTTTCCCAACGCCCAAATCCGAATAGTACTGTCGAATCAAAACCTCGATCACGAGCACACACCCCCGCATTGGTCCTACCTCCATCTACCTTAGTGGTGATTGACTCAACAAAACCCAACTGCGCGCCGGCCCACGTACGGATCGAAAATTTCCATTACGTCTACGCCAGTTATCAAGCCCTACCCTCTACTTGTAACGTCAAACGACCATACCCTACTTGTCACCCCCATATAAAACAGTCGCGTCGCCATAACCCATTTCATCCTATCTCTCCCCCACCTAACTCACCCGTGTCACACGCGCCAACCCCACGTATACCTCTCGCCACTAGTACCGCCACGCAACTTGTACATAATCCCTTCTCGTGCCCATACACCAGATAAATACAGCCCTTCATCACTGCTTTCTAGCCTGCTAATCCCCTGTGTACTGACAATGCCATTCTAAGAACCCCTGACTCGTCATCTCACCTCCTAAATCTCCTCACGCCATGCAGCCTTCGCCCTCCCTAGTACTGCCCACGTTCTGCACGTTCTTCTTAAGACCCTACATCGAGAGAGGGGTTCCCCAACTGGCACTATCCACCTATCCTACTCAGTACTATACTATGTATCTCTATACCTATCTATATTCCCTTCTTCTCTCTCCATTTCTCCACTAACACGGAGTAAACACTCATACTCACCACGTTAACACCACCACGGCTCCTTCCCCGCCTTGATTCATGCGAAAACTTATCCACCTCCCTCACCGCCGTATCGGAGTAAAGCGTGTAGCCGCTACTCAACCGCATCCGCCCCAGTGGCCGTGCTCCCCCTCCTCTCCATCTGCAAAGTGCATGTTCCATTATATTCCTTCTCACGCCTCCTTGATGGCACCCTCACACCATACTCAAGTCCACATACTCCCATGAGTTAAACCATCACCCCTAACCCCCACTATCAATGCTCTCGTTAACTCTCCCGAGTTAGAATCCAGTCGTCTGCCAAGCTCTGACACAACATCCCAGACAATAGCAGCCCAGCACACCCACACAGACGAACTCCCCAGACTAGATTTGTTTATCGCACAAACCCCCCACCACATACCGACTCACACACCAGTTATCCACGACTCTCACAACAAAAGCGACGTAACACCTATGCATGTTTCTCCGCGCCTTCACAACGGTCATAGACTCCCTGCCCCTCCCCAGCAATGATTACAGTCGCGACTCGCCTACGCAACGAGAGACTCAAGCTCCGAACGCGTTTATTGCTCTCACGGTCTGTCACCCGCTCTCGCCTCTGCGCAGTCGTCGTCACGCTTATCTACCAGTGGCTTATCTACACCCCCGAGCACCATACTAGGTTCCCCCTACTAAACGATTAACTACGAATGACCCCTCTACAGACCACTCTACCTCGTACTCTCCAGCACCGCCAGCCGCATTAGACATCGAAGGTAACCCTCCGTCCGCAAAGACTAGATGTTGTAACGTCTATCATCAGTCAACGGCTCGGATCTACCATCTAGAATGGATATACCAGCCACTCGCACAGCTCACCATAAGGTGGAATCCGCTTGCTTGCGTACATAGATAGTCACTTCTGCGAATCCACGGGCAGGTCCATTGGTGCATATCTCATTTCGCGTAAGACTCATCTTCGCCTGCCAAATCTACCTCACGCTCTAGACAACCCTTATACCCAGATCTCCCAAACGCGATCGCGCAGAATATCGTGATAGGCTATACCGCTGAACGACGCCGAACATGTCACGCCTGACCACCCACGTGCCTTATCCTGCCGCTCGCGACCGTATACCAATAGATGCTCATGCTCCATAGTCTCAACAGCTGTCCAGTGCCTCAATCTTCGAGAGAGTCCTCATTATGATATCCACCTTGAGAACATTACTCGACAACCCTACAGTTCCAGAATGATACGAGAATCAGATCCCGCATCATAGTCACGCGTCACCGTATCTCGTTTTGGTCACCTCACAGTCACATCCACGCGCACACTCCCCTGAGTGAAACCCTCAAATAACGCTGCGATTCGCCTCGGGCTATCCGCTCGCCACTAATTCACCTCTGACGAATACGATTTATCGTAGTCAAACCCGATCAATTACACTCTCACAAAGTCCTTACAGCACACGCTACCTCCGGACTCTCTGATCACATCAGTCGCTACCTATTCATCTCCCACTGACATCCGCCTAAATGTAACCCCGAAAATCAGCCGAACTACAGACACTCTGCCATCCCTACCCACCGCTGACTCACCTCTTCTCTCACCTGCCACACACATCATCTCGATCTCAGTCTCAGCTCAGAGCTACCCTACCTCTCACCCTCTTTCGCAGATGAATACTACCACTTCCCCCACCCTATATCCGACATCTCCACTACTACCCCATTATCCCTCCCCCTACCCCGCCTTCCGCCACTTCCCTCCTCGCTTAATATGGTAATGCAAATAGCTCCCCGCATCTCAACAAATAAATCCTATCATGAAGCAATGCAAGCCTCTGCCCATGAAGACCTAAGTAGATCTACCCCCCCCTCCTCCCTCGTTTCTGAGACATCTAGCTTGCTATCACCGCTCAGCCGCCTTGATATAGTGAACTCTCCCAGGTGCGGATGAAGCCCGCCACGCATCGTGTCACCCCCAGGCCACTCCTTCACCTGCGCGTCCATACTACGCCTTCCGCACCACACAAGGCAAAGCGGACAAAACACCTTAAGCGCCATCCTTCACTATCATCAGCCCCCCCCGATCAATATCTCACGCAATATCTGCCCGCCGTACTTTCTTCACGAGCTTCGGCTTCGTCGACAATTAGACATCCACCCACACGCCTCAACACGCACCCCCATCACCCAGGGATGACACCCCCCTTTGCCCACATCCCATCCCCCCGGAACTCGCACCCCAGGCCGCGGCGTCCCCGCCCTCAATCGCCTCGCACCACACTCCAGCCCCCCGTTGGGCCTATTTACCAACTGTGCCCAGCTGTCGCCATTCTCACCAGCTCGGTCCCCGCCTCACCGCTCCTGCGTCGACTCCGCACCATCCCCATGAACGCTTCAGCGCCCCCCACGATCGCCAACTAGCCACAGACACCCCACCCCCCAACATTATACCACTGAGCCACTCGGAGGTCCGACCCCTCGCCCCCACCATCTCACGAATGTGCCCTCCAACCTAACTACTGCCACGATATCGGCACACACACTCATCTCCGCGTCTCTGTTTCACCGCTCCGTGTGACCCAGCCCAGACACTCTCCACTGCTCCTCCCCCTCCTCGTCTCCCCCAAAAGCCCCCCGCCTCCTGCACCGCCACACACACCCACCCAAGGGCACAGACGTGAGACTCTCATAACACACTCCGCGTAAGCACTCTCTCTCCTGGAATCATGTAAAGCCCCTCCCGTACGTGTATTTAATGCTCCCACCCTATCCCTTTTCAAAAGACGCCTTGACGATACTCTGTCACATTTACAATAGGGGATATAGCCCATGACCACCAGATGCTGGCACTAATGCACAACAGATGGTGAACAGTACCATAAGTTTACTCGAGAATGAGTCACTCATAACCCCTTTCACAAAATTTAATAAACGCTGTTACTATAGAAACTGGATTTCTGTATCCTGTCGATCCAAGATGGATGCATACGAGTAAGCGTTGTCCTTGCTATCTTTTTATTTTTCCTCGCCTATTATGTGATCATTAACCACTCCCCTTATTGCTTTGAATGCGTACATTCTCATTTCAAACTCCCTTTATACGGCAGTGCAGTTAAATCTGTAATCGCCCGAACTGACGACTCTTTTATCCCTTGATCTATCTTTTTTCACTCTGAAGACCCTACGGGACATATCAAGCACCTGTATTTTTACACGTTATAAATCATTGTTCATTTTTACGCCCATTGGTTGATAATAATGCTTTACCAGGTATCTATATGGCATTGTTCCAAGATTTGTGAAATTAGTGTTACACATGAAGGGATGATAACAAGTTCTATTAGATAACTGTTGAGAAGTTTCGCGCTACTCTACCAACGAGATCCAGCTGAAAGCAACAGGCGCAGTGTCTCGAGTAGTCAGCAATATGTGAAACTTCCTATTCTCGGTAAATTCATTGTCTCGGAGTCCCGCGGAGAAGCCGACACAACAGCACCAGCGCACATGATAGGCAGAGCGAAGTTACGGTGAACATCCTGATTTGGAGCACGGTGACCGCTAGGCAACCCGACTTATTTTCATAAACCAACAAGAAACCAGAAAATTATTAGCGGACCATCCTGTAACTGCCGGTTTAGGAGCAAACACGTAGTTGACAGCATAACAACATAATTCTGACTTACAATCACTATCCTGT